TTATTACCTTTTTCATCTGAGAACTCTAAAGGATTACTTTTTACCTTCTCATTGATCTGTGTCCTCTCCTCCCGCCCCCCAAAAAACATATGAATGAAAAAGACATATGAATGTGTTTTAGTTTAAACTCTTATTAAGTAAACTCTACATGTGAATTGTTTGTATGTGTATGTGTATGAGTGTATGTGTGTGTGTGTGTGTGTAAGAGAGAGAGAGAGAGAGAGAGAGAGAGAGAGAGAGAGAGAAAGTTACAAGAGACAGACTAGAAACTACTTACCAGAATATACCTTGGCATTGAGTTCTGCTTATCAGTTTTACTTAGAAGATGGCAAAATCTCTAAATTTTCAATCTCATGACTTTTTTCAGTTAATTTTAAAAAACTATTAAGTATTTGTTAAGTACCTATTTATATGTACCAAGTGCTGAAATAAATTTCTTTAATTTTATTTTATTTCTCATGTGTATTTTATCTTTCTTCTCATTTGGGAATTATTAAGTTTAGAATTTCCTATTATATTTTCAAAGTCTTTTACCTTCTCTATTATTAAAAAAAAAAATCTATTTGTGTCTCACACTTGAATGTCTTCCAGGTTCATCTTCTATTTCAGGGGTTTGTTTTTCCTGGAGTTTTAAGTCTTCCCCTTCATGGCTGAGATTTTATTTTAGCTGTTGTGTTCTTTTTTATTTTTTTACTCTCTTTTTATCTCAATCTTTAAAAACAACTTGCATGCCTTTTAATTTATTAAGAGTGTGAAGTGGTGACATTTTTTTAAACTCTTACATATTTGCTCATTTTGCACTTTGCCCCAGATTTTAAGAGGATCTCATGTTCTGTTTTTGATGTTATTTACTCATTCCTGGTAGTAACGTATTCCACTTCGTTGTTGTTGTTTCAAGTTCTGCTGGGATAGATTCTCAGAAACCCATTTGAATGTAGAAAGAGATGTATAATCTAAAACAAGGGATTATTCAGGAGCCTGAGCACCAGGAAGTGTCCCGCCCCGCAACCTCTAGATCTTGCAGGCACATTCCACACAGATGCAGGTCAACGTTCAGGCTGTGGGGTGTGGATGTGAGCATTACCTGAACCAGACCAAGAGGAAAAGACTGCATCTGACTGGAAGAGCAGCCCTGGGACCATCTGCTCCCTGAAACCATCATCCCATCTCCTGTCTGGACCTGAAAGTAGAGGACAAAAACAAGAAAAGGAGCAGGTGGTGGCGTGGAACATCCATCAGTCCTGTGCTGCTCGTGGGGCCTGCCCAGAATCTTATAGAAACCTAGAAAGTTTTCAAATTTTAATATTTACATGAGGAACCACAAGGATTTGTGACTTTTCTTTGACTTACTTTAGTGAAAGGAGGCTCCTAGCATTTCCATTCACTCCAATAAGTTTCAGAAGTCATCTTTGAAAATTAAAAAAGTGTATTAAAGATGATGGTTTTGGGAAAAACATCAGCAAGGATGGTTATAAAAAGCCTTAATCTTTGCTGATTACAAGAAAAGATGTAGGTAATTGTGGTCATATTGTCTTCTTTATGGCACAGGCTGTGTGTTGCCTGTCCAATATTCTTTCTCTCCCCCTCTCTTTCTAACAGAAGTTTCATTTCACTTGGTGCAACTTGGGTTTCCCAGTTTCTTACAGGAAGGGAGGGTCATGTGGCACAGTCCTGGGCAATAATATATGACAAGAAGTCACTGAGCAGAGGTTCTGGAAAGCTAACGTGAAATAGTGCTAACTTAGCCAGGTGAATCTCTGTAATCCTGTTCCCTTCTTTTTCTTGCCTAAAATTAATGGCTGTTATAACTGGAGCTCTGGTCAACGTGTAGAGAACCGGAGGAAAAGGCCTCACTCTGAAGAGGGAGCCTTGCTGACCTGGGGCCTGCATAGCACTCCAAGATCACCTAATTTGTTTAAACTACTGTGGCATGACCCTTCTGTTCGCTGCAGCTTAAGTCTCCTGCTCACTGGGGTAATTTTGCACTCTGAGAGAAGAGCCATCCTCCTCCTCTCTGTGCATGAATACTTATCAATGTTTTTTCACTGTTGTCTGGTTCAATTATTATCAAAGTGTAAGTAATGATGGTAAAACCTACAGCAGCATCCAGGCATCCAGGGTGTCAATAGCAGTCTCCATCTTTCAAGCAAACCAGAATCAAAGTTTAGTTGGAGAAATGGGTATTTGACACTTTCATTAGCAAAGGATTTGAAGAGACCAAAAATCAGCTACCTAATTTTTGGAAATTAAGATTTCACCTAGGGGTCACAAATTCTCAAGACAGTTCAGCAAAAGCCCTAGGCCCCTTGTGAAGTCTTGCATTGGGGCCTATAACTTACACTTTGAAATAAGAGATATGGAAGCTCAGGAAATTCTTTTATTGCTTTTTTGCTAGATTTCTTACCACTAAAATTGCTTGTAAAGCTCTTTGTTTATAATAACATCAACTTACATCAGCTGTTCTGAGGGGAAATAAGGAAGAAGAAAATTGCACATCCTTCGGGAGTGATAGATATTGAAGAGAGAAAAGCCCAGGAAGGAGGCAAAAACTCAGGAAACAAGAGGCAGAAGCAATCGAGGAGCCATCCCATCCCTCCAGAAGTTTCCTATTCAGGAGTGTCCTTCGGCTCCAAACGTACATTATAGATTGTTGTGTGCAGGAGATAACGAACTCTGTGAGGCATAAACTTTATTAAGTCCTGCCTTTTAGCACAGAACAAGTTTAAATATTATTATACTTATCCATTTTGAAAGACTTCTAAGCACCTAATATGAACCAAACATTGAACAAATTATACCAAAGATTTATATTCAACTTTAAAAAGAACTTGGTACTTTGTTTTTCCATAGCTGTAACAGTGGGGCATAATTTACAGTGCATTCTGTTTTCCATCTACGAATAAAATGTGGTCTAAAAACTCACAGATGAGAATATAAGGCCAATTGTTATCACAAATTTAAACTTTTTTTATCTTTTGTATGATGGTGTTTTCTTTGAACACTAGATGCCTCTCACATTGTATTAGCAAGAGAAAAAAATAACTAAGTACATAAGACTTGAGCAGAAAATATTTAATTTCATATTAAAGGCACCTACTATGCTATGAGGCATGCCATACGATAGAAAGGAATATGTATATTTTTATGGTAATATCAATAAGGATGTTGCAAACTGCTACTGAAATTTCTGAGTTCTATAAAAAAAATCTGTTTCAGTTTTGTGGATACTTTTATTTTAACATAACTTAATTATGTGCTTTATTACTTTTTAAAAGTTTCCAAAGCACCCATAAATGTCTAGCAAAATATACTGTTAATATATCTAGGAGGGGCTGGAGTATAAGTCTGCTTAAAATGTATAAGATCATAATTTCAAACCTATGTATATGTATATACATGCACACACACATATACCTATACATGTGTGAATATATATTTATTTATATTGCATAGGATGTAAATTCAGGTTTTCCACAAAAGTCTTGGAAGGCTTTGGAAAAATCTGACCAGGAAACGAAGGCAGCCCTTACCAAGAATCTTTGGAGCAAATGGAAGAGATCTAGTTATACCCACCCAGTGCAACTGGAATTATTAATGAGGTCCAAATGCAGAATCATTAAACTTCATCAGTCTTATTAACTGACTCCCGATATTAGGTGTGAACAACCCCCTGGACATGTTGGGACTCGTTCAGTAAGCTTTATCTTTCTTTCTATCACTGATTCAGTCAATTCATTAAAGCCTGTTTATCTCTCCCGGGTGCCACTTAATGAGTTTCATTGCTTTGTTTATTGTGCTTGTTAGCCCATAGATCTTTCACAATTTCCATTGGTTTCTGAAGGCTTCTTAAGTACTAGTTGTGATCAGCCCTTTTGCAGCTAGTGCTTTCATAAGCATGTCTTTGAACAAGTAAAAGACGCAGGAGAATAAGATGGGATAGGGTGATATGGGAGGGGAAAAAAAGAGCCAAGTAATTCCACCAGGTGCCTGCGTTCCCTGAAAGGACCAGCAGGTGGTAGCAACACTTCTCGCGAAGGCCCCAGCCCAGCTCCCTAGGACAGAAACAATAGACCCCTCATCCAGACCTGGGGTTAAGAGGTTAAGGGTGGGCGGAAATATTTTTTCTCGAGTCGCCCCCTGCGTTCCTCAACCCTGCCTCCGGGCACACACTGAGAGCGTCTTCGACCGCCTCTCATCACTGTGGGAAGGTTCTCTGTGGAGCGCGGGCAAGGGAGGAGGCGCCCAGAGGTGCAGTGACTTGCCCAAGCCATGTCAGAGCCAGGCAGCGACACCAGGACTTCCCCTTTTCATCCCCAAGCTTCCCAGTCCCTTGGGGAGGGTGGAGGGAGAAGGCTGGAGCCTGAAGCTCCGACGTTGACCCAAATTCAAGCACTAAAAGATAAAAGAGTTCGAGGCTAGCGCTGGCGCCCCTCTCCCTGGCTGCATAACCTCCCGCACCACCGCCTGGACCCCCGAGATTTCTGTTGTCTTTTCCTCTACCCCCTTCTTTCTTCCATCTCTTTTTCTACGCCCACCTTAGTTCAAACCTCAGTAGGAGCCCACTGTCTAGTTCCTAGAGTTAAAGCCGAAAAGGAGGGGAGGCAAGGGGGTGCGTTTGGGGGCTCTGTCCCGCCCAGGGAGTCCGCAGCGGGCCAGTTGCGCTCGCTCCGCGCGCTCGAGCCCAAGGGTCTGAATACATCTCCCAGCCTCGCGCTCGCAGCCTGCTACTGCAATTCGCGCGTGCCACCCACCCACCCAGCCCACGTCCCTCCTGGCCGGGCCAGCACCCGCCGGCGGAGGCTGCCCCCCCACACACCGGCGCTCCCGCGGGCCCAGGGCGCGCCCCGCATCTCCCCGCGTTCCCCAACGCTGAGAAAAGCGGGCGGCTCGTAGCAGCCGCCTAGGCCAGGAGGGCGGGCTCCGCTCCCCGGAAGAGGGGAGAAGGAGGGCGGCCGAAGGGGCCGGAGAGGGGCGGGCCAGGCTGGGAGGGGACGCAGAGGGGGCGGGCCGGGCTGCGCTAGCTCCTGCCGCCGCTCCAAAGCAGCGGGCGGTGGGACCCGCGACCGAGCTTGGGGCGGCGATCGCGACGCTAGCTCTGCACCATCCAGCGCCCCGCCTCCGGAGAAGCCCCTGCCGCTAGACCCTGGTTCGCCCCGGAATCCCAGAGACTCGGGCACGGAGCAGACGCGGGGAGCAGGGTTCCCGGACCCGAAAGGACGCTCACGACACGGGGTGAGCTCGGGGAGCAGCGGCTCCTCTGCGGGCCCTCGCGGGCGCAGACCTGCAGAGCTTGAGGCCGGCGGGAAGGTGAGCCCGGGTCGCAAGCGGCATCAGGGGACCGGGGATAGTGTGCCTGGGGACCGAGGGATTACGGTTTGCAAAGTGAGGGGATCCTCCAGGCTGGGCCTCTGCACACCCTGGAGGGCCTCCTGGGGGAGTGCTGAGTATACCTCCCCAAGGCGAAAGCGGGGCTCGTGAGCGGCTAGGGAATACCCCCACATATCTCGTTGACGCCCCCCTATCCTTGTTGTTTGGCTTTCCTCCGCTGTTTTTCCAGAGACCCTTCTCTGGCTCTGCTTGGGGGTCCTGATCTGAGGACCGACTCTAGGCGTTAGGAAAAGAATTGCCCATCCCTCGGATTTCAGTGGCATCTCTCCAATCCCCTTGGAGCTGGGAGGAGCCAGGAGGCCCGTCCACACTTGCCCCCAGATCTGCACAGCATCCCCCACGCCACCCCTGATCCCCATCACCACATTTAAGTCTTGGAGGTGAGGCTCATTTTCTGCTCTCAGCCATAACCCCCAAGTTCTAACCAAAGTCTCCTGCCTGCTCCTGCCCTAGCTTCACCTCCTCTCTGAACCTGGGTGCTTGGTCCTGCCTGGTCCCCCACCCCCACCCACAGATCTTGGCTGTCTGGCACCCTCTCTCCTCCCATCCCTAGGGGAGCTGGCATTGGCCCAGCATAGCTGATGTTGTAATGTCCCTGGCAGTGCCCATGGAGAAGAGCTGCTGGGCCTGTTCCCAATCAGTTAACCCAGGCCCTCCACCCGCCAGGGGAACTTGACTCAGGCTCTGGAAGGGGAGAGGATGGCCCTGAACTGAGAGACCAGTGGGAAGGAGCCTGAGGCTCTTCACAGTCCAGAGAAGCTGCTCAAGTAATGTGGCTTTGGGGAATTGAGCTCTGCTCAGTGGAGCAATGGACTCTTTTTTCTAGAAAGAAAATTAGGGTGGGGGTTCCTCTGTACCTGCCTAGTGACTATGTTCACTAGTCACTAGATGACTTCCAGTGACCATGGAGTTACCAGAGTGCTAGGATCAACAGGCCTGGGTGACAGAGCATGGGAAGGGCAGGTGGTTCCTCTGGGATAACACCAGTCCCAGCCCCTCACTGTCACCTGCACCTGGGTGCCAGGCCCCCTGTCCACACCCTGCCCCATCACTCTAGGTGGAAGGGGAATGGCAGCATTGGGGTTGGAAGCCTTGGTTTCCCTATGTCTCCTTCTTGCTTGGCCCCTTCTCCCAGCCCAGGTGTTTCTGTAGAAGCACCTCCCAGGAGAGAGCTCTCACCCAGAGGGAGGGATGGAGCAGGGCCCAGGGTGAGGGACAGTTCATGGGACCCCTCCAGAACAGCACTGAGCAGCATATCTGACACACACTCATCTCCTGACTTGTTACTGCTGCCTACCTTGCCTTACACACACATTTTCTTACTCACTGTACCAGAGAGACACATCCTCAGGCATCTGGGGACACAGGTATTGATCCTCCCAGCACCTTTCACTACTCATTCCTTGTGCACATTTGCCCATTGCCCCAACACCCCTCATGCTGTTTTCCAGAGTCAAAGATGTCACCGGTCAGTGCACAGAGTGGCTTATTCTGCGTGACTGTCTGGCTGGACCCAGACACTGCCTGCATCCTAAAAGCCTCTTCCAGCTCCACAGCCTGGGAGTGGGAGGCACATTTGTCTGAGTTGGCGTGCTCTGGGGGACATTCTCAGAGGCTGGAGGCCTCCAGGGACACAGAACTATCCTCTGCTAGGTGATCCATGCATTTGCTTCTCTAGCCTGGGTAGCAGGGGATCAAGAGCCAAAGGACTGCCACCTCTTCCCTGTCTGTCCTGACCGCTGCCTTAAAGCCTGCCAGAATTCTTTTCAAGGCAGAGGGCCAGAGCACGGAGAGCTACCCAGAGGGTCTTCAGGGTGCAGATTAAAGGGCAGAGGCGGCAGCGTTCAGCTGAGCAAGGATTATATTGGAATTTCCTGGGCGTTTAACAGCTGCAGAACAGGGCAGAGGACAGGGCCTATGGTGCTGACCCCTCCCACGGTGACCCTGCAGCTAACAGGTGTGAGAACCAGCCCAGCAACCACAGCAGACATAAATGCACCCTCTCCATTGGGACACTCCCTCTCCCTGCTGACCTGCAGCTGACCGACTCACCTGTCTAGGCTCCCTTTGCCACCAACTATGCCCTGTGTTACAGGTGTCCCCCTTTGTCCCTTTTTCCCTTTGTAGTCCCAGTCCTCTGCTTGACAGAGTGGCAGAAAAGCATGAGGACAATGTGAACTTCTTGGGAGAGAAGCGTAAAGAACAGGGCATGATAAAAAGTTGTTTTGCTTATGTTGCTCTCAGTTCATTCACGCTCAGCTTCTGCTGTCTCTTCATCTCTGTTTTCTTCTTCTAGATGAAAATTTCTAGGTATTTTGAAAGCTAGAGGATAAAAGATCAGGGGATAAAATATAAACATATGCTGTATTTGTCTAAGTTTAAAATACTTTCTTGTTTGGATTTTGTTGTAACTATAAAAAATAAGGTATGCTTATTGTAACAAGAGAAACAATTCCAATATGTGTAAGACAAAGCCAATTATACCCCACCTACCACCCTCCATTTCTACCTCCTACAGTGACCAATTTTAATGATCCAATGTATTTCTGTCATACCTGCCTCCAAGCTTACCTGGCTAGCATTATTTAATTTTTAAAATTCGCTTTGTGGATTGAGGTGCATAAACTCTATTAAGTAAGCTGGATTTGTTCATGAAAGTATCGTATTTAGCATTTAATTGGAGCATAGTTAATTTTTCAAATTGCATGCAGGTTTACCAATTTACTTTTAAATGTTTCATTTTCTCAGAGAAGAGACTTCATAAGCTATGCTTTATAAGCTAAGATTCTACAAGTCTCTAATTTTTGCCGGTTTCTGAAAACAAAATAGGCCCAAGAGTGTATCTTATTTTTGTCAAACAAAGAAATATGTAGCAGGCTTGTGGATCTAGTCTCCAAGCCTGGAATCTCAGCTACTTCAGAGGCTGAGGCAGGAGGATCACAAGTTTAAGGCCAGCCTCAGCAACTTAGCAAGACCTTGTCTCAAAATTAAAAGTAAAAAGGGCTGGGGAGCACCCCTGCATTCAACCCTCAGTACTGAGAGAGAGAGAGAGAGAGAGAGAGAGAGAGAGAGAGAGAGGAGATAAATATGATATATCCAGAAAAGAAGCTGAGAAGAAGTATGAAGCGGTAGAATGCAATTTTTATCACATGAAACTCTAATCAGTCTCATTTTCTGAGCTGTCGTTTTACATCCACATTTCTGCTGCGTCAGTTGTTCGATATTTTTAAAACCTTATATGCATCTGAAATTTGAATGTTTTCCTGATTTAAGTCAGTTTTTGGCACTTTCTCGTGCAGAGATTTCTAAACACTGGCCAGTTCTTCTCATGAGCCGGAGCAGAGAGAGGACTGACACGCAGGCTCAGGAGGAAGAGAGAGACCTGGCCTTGCGGATTCCTCTTCCCCATGGTGCTGCCGTATCCTTGTGCTCGATGGTGCCCAGGATGTGCTCCTGGGCGTTCCATGTCCGCTGCCATTGAAGGCGCCCTTGAAAGTCGGCTTCCAAGTCCTGCTTGCTTAGTATTCCAGGCATGCGGAGCAGTCATGTTCTTGTCGCTTGTTTTTCTACCTTTGAAACTTGCTTCAGAAGAATCTGCAGTGGTATGAATTGGTTGACAGCAATTTATTCCATATCTTAAAGTTTCCTCTTGCTGTATTTTTATTCTTGCAGTAGAGATCCACTTAGGGTCTTTCTATCTGTTAAAAAAATAAAAGAGTTGAATTTATCTGTTTTGTTAGATAAGCAAGAACTGACCTGACTTCCTAGTCTGACTCAGCAGTCATTTTTCTTCTAAAGAAACTTGGTTCTAACCTTCAGTATTCTGGGTCTGAACCTGAAAGACATTCTCATCAAATATCAGAATAAACTTATGGGCACTTTAGGATCCTCAACCATTTCTTTTTTCATGAATATTTTTGTTCTTAGTAAAATTTCAAAAAAAAAAAAATTACTCAAGTGGCAATCTACCTGTAGTGTCTCCATTTTATTCTTTTCTTTCTGATAGTTCTTGATGACAGAAACAAATTGACAAAGTAAATTGCTGCTACTCATTTCTGGATCTTTTGAAGAGAGGCCAGCTTCATGTTGTCATTAAGAGGCGTGCTAAGGCTATCCAAGCATGCCCTGATGCAGTCACAAGCTGCTGCATTACTTGTATTGTGGGTCATCAAGGGAACTATCTTGCCATTCTTCATCTTCTAGAATGTTCCATATGGTACCATTGATATTGTTCGTGAAGCATCTTTTCTATCTTGCTTTGCTATCTTTCAATTTAAAAAATTCATTACGATGTTACCAAAATATTTATTATTCCTTCATGATTGTCTAGTTGTGAGTTTAGGGAAGCACAGTCCTTATTGTTTCTTCTTTGTACCAATCATAGAACCCATTCATGTTCTGCCTGAAAGAGACTATTTTAAAGAATATCTTCTGGGTGAATTGTAAAATAGCCTTCATTGTTTAAAAGCTTGCCTCTGGCGTTCTCTGTTCTTGATAACAGTGTTCCTAAAGACTGTGGCTCTGGACAGAATCTGGTTTGCTTTTGTGTATCAAGCATGTTCCCAAATTCAGGCACTGAGAATTTGGGGATTGCACCTGCAACATAAATTGCTTCGGGTGTTTATTGAATAGCTGTTGGTGATGGAGCCAATGCTTCTGAAGTTAAGGTAGCGAGGCATGCCCTCTACTTCATGATCTGCCTGTTTCTGTCTGGAGCACTTATGTCATCAGTGGATGGTCCTAACAACATTTAGGACAGTATTTGCAAAGAATCTGTTTTTCTTATAAACTCTTTTAAGGGAAAAAAAGAATACTATCTGCCACATGGAACTGCTTCTTACTTGCCTCTATGTGCGGTGAATTGAGCTCTCTATTTCACACATGGTATTAGAGATATGAGGGGTCAATTTCAGTGGCAGGTTGAAGGATGCCCAGTACACATCAGCCTACATGAATCTCTCCATGATGCTGACTTCATGGAAATGGCACTGAAGTCTTCATCTTATGATGCAGCCAGCAGGAACATAAAAAAAAAATTAGATGAGTGGGAATTAAATTATGGCTTTCATGTTGATCACAGTCTAACATAGTTTTATAGTTTGATTTCAGTTTCATGGAGAAACACATAGTTTTCTATACCACTGTGAATCACAAGGCCACATACATCCAGGTTCAATTCCCCTTCCAGTTGGCTTATTTTTCCTCAATCCTCTCTTTAGCAGCACATTTTCCTCCTCAACAGAAATAAATGGATCCTACTGCTCTTGTCCATGTAGCACATGGACTTTTGAGACTCAGTCATGAGGAGGGTCAGAGTGCTACCAGGCTTTTCTTCATCTTTTGTGTGTGTGTGCATGGTACTGGCGATTGAACCCAGGGGTGTTCTGTCACTGAGCTACATGGCTATAGCCCCAATCACTTTTTATTTTTTATTTTGAGACAGGGTATCACAAAGCTGCTTAGGGCCTCTTGCTGAGGCTGGTCTCTAACTGGCAATCCTCCTGTCTCAGCCTTCCAAGTTGCTGTGTTTATAGACATGTGCTACCACACCCAGCTAAGTTTATTTCTCTTTCTTTCTTTCTTTTTTCATTTTTTCCCACATATATTTTATTTTTTATTAGTTCAGTTATATATAACCTTAGAATTCATTTGAATTCATTTAATAATTATTAAAGCATAGAAAATAGAGCTTACCTTATCTTTTTCTGGGAGTACTACTTTCACTTGGAAGTTATTTGCATATTAATACATAAATAGTAGCCCGTATTCCTTGTTAAGGATGTGCCTTGATTTCTTAACCATCATCCTATCGATGGACAGTTTATAGTCTTTCTCTTATAAACAATTCACATGAGTATCCCGCTCAAACATCTACGCAAACTGGTGAATGTATATTGTACCCCAAGGACTTCTTAGGAGTGAAACTGCTAGCTAGATTTGCCAACTGTTCTCTGTGCACCAAGATTCCAATTTGAACTCATAATATGGTATACTGAAGAGACCCTATTTATCTATACTTGTCCAGCATGGTTATTGACTTCATAGGTTAAAAATGAAGTCTTAGAGCTGGGCACGTTGGCACGCACCTGTGAACCCAGCCCTCTGGAGGCTGAGGCAGAAGAATTGGAAGTTCAAGGTCAGCCTCAACAACTTAGTGAGGCCCTAAGCAACTTAGTGAGAGTTTTTCTCTAAATAAACAATAAAAAAGCGGAGGGATGAAGCTCAGTGATAGAATACCCCAGGGTTCAATCCTCAGTACCAAAAAAAAAAAAAAAAAAAGAGGTCTTAGTAAGCAATCGAGGCTGTAATGACAAAGTCCATAGATTCAGTGGCTTATAAGCAATAGGAACTTGTTTCTCACCATTCTGGAGGCTGATCCGAGGTCAGAGAGCCAAGGTTGTGTTCTGGCGAGGGTCCTCTTCTGAACTGCAGACAGTCCTCTTTGCATCTTTATTATAACCCTGCAAGGTAGAAAGAGGGCTAGTAAGCTCTTTGGGGTCTCTTATCAGAGCATTAATCCTATTCATGGCTGCTCCACCCTCATGACCTAGTTACCTGACAAAGTCCCCAACTCCAAATACTGTCACATTGGGGGCTAAGATTTTGACATGTGAATCCGGGGCAGAGGCACCAACATTCAGCCTCTAACAAATGGCATGCCACTGTTGTTTTAATAGGTCCTCCTTTAAATGCGAGCAAACAAAAAGCATCTTTTCATATGTTTAAGACATACACTTATTTTTCTGTTAGCCACACACAAAAAAAGTGCCCCTTGGGGGAGAGAACCTTTGTTCACATACATAGCTCTCTCCTCATTTGTCTTTCAGAGTCTTTATGCCCATGCTCTTTTTATATTTGTACTCTTACCCTTCCCTCCCTTCATACCCCATGGCCATTTTTCTGTGTCTCTCACGCTTCGCTGCCTCTGTAAAGTGTCTAGAATACCCAAGGCAGCATTGCTGGGGCACGGGGAGCATCCTTGTGTTCCCTAAGGACAGGATAGATTCCTGCCCACCTGTCTTTAATGAGAAGAATCTTCTAACTTTAACTTCCAATACAGACTGGCCATTGGAGAAAGGGAGGAGAGTAAATGAAGAGAAAGAACTGGAATAACTCCTTCCACAGGAAAAGGGTAAGCCACAACTACCCCGTGCTCCCCCTCTGAGAAGGAGGGCCAGGAGGAACACAGAGACACAGTCACACAGGGAGTAGCAATAAGCACCCTGGCACGAGGCCCTCCAGGATCCTGAATCTTCAAAGCTGTCTCTGAGAGAGCTCTCTGTTGGCTTCGCCCTAGGGTGGGTGCGGGGGCAGTTTGAAATTCGGCATCAGGTTGGATGAAATTGCTGTATATAAGAATGCAATTTCCTCCCCACCCACCCCACCTCTCCCGGGCCTCTGTGTATCCCTAGGAAGCAAGCTTCGCTGCCAACCCCCATTTGAGCAAAAGCCACAGCCCCACCTGGGAGCAGGGTGGTGGCCAGGGCAATGGTGGGAACCTTGAAGATGCCCCATGGCTACTGAGGGGGCTGCGCAGTCAGGGAGCAGAGTGTCTGGCATGGTGTGCAGCCTGTGGGTCCTGGTCCTGGGGCCCTCAGTTCTGGCTCTGGAAGGTAAGAAGGAGGGGAGGCCCAGTGCGGGGCCAGTGAGGGTAGGAAATGGGAACGACTCAGAAGTGAGGGAAGACATCACAAGTGGGAAAGGCATGGGGAGGGTGGCCAGGATCTGCATCGGGGATTTCAGAGATGGGTTCCTGACAGACAGCTGAGTGACTGCTGGCAAATTAAGTGGACATGGAGGGACAGTCTCTGGTTCCCCATGGGAATGGGGTTGGGGTCAGAGGTGCTGACTGGAGGGTTGGCACCGAGTGCCCCTCTCTCTCTGGGCAGAAGTGTTGCTGGACACCACGGGAGAGACATCTGAGATTGGCTGGCTCACCTTCCCACCAGGTGGGGTGAGTGCCACTCTTCATTCTGAACCCATCTCCACCCCTTCCTGTTCCCTAGAGTGGAATTTGGGAAGGCAACCCTGGGTCTTGCGGGTGGGATAAGACCCCCTCCCTCCCTGAACAGGATTTCGATGAATCCTCCTCCTGCTTGGTTGTCATTAAGTCTCAGTGGAACAGATATGTCCCCTTCATTCCCCGGCCCCCAACACCTCCCTGCCCAAGCTCTGAGCAGCTGACACCTTTTCTGGTCTCCGGGCAGTGGGACGAGGTAAGCGTTCTGGATGACCAGCGTCGCCTCACAAGGACCTTTGAGGCATGCCACGTGGCAGGGGCTGCTCCAGGTACCACCCAGGACAACTGGCTACAGACGCACTTTGTGGAGCGGCGAGGGGCCCAGAGGGCACACATCAGACTCCACTTCTCCGTGCGGGCCTGCTCCAGCCTGGACGTGAGCGGGGGCACCTGCCGGGAGACCTTCACCCTTTACTACCGCCAGGCGGAGGAGCCCGACAGCCCCGACCACATTTCAACCTGGCACCTCAAACGCTGGACCAAGGTGGACACAATCGCAGCAGATGAGAGCTTCCCTGCCTCTTCCTCCTCCTCTTCCTCCTCCTCTTGGGCTGTGGGGCCCCAAGGGACTGGTCAGCGAGCTGGCCTGCAGCTGAATGTCAAGGAGCGAAGCTTTGGCCCTCTTACCCAGCGTGGCTTCTATGTGGCCTTCCAGGACACAGGGGCCTGCCTGGCCCTTGTAGCGGTCAAGCTCTTCTCCTACGCCTGCCCCACCGTGCTCCGTGCCTTTGCCTCCTTTCCTGAGACGCAGGCCAGCGGGGCTGGGGGGGCCTCCCTGGTGGCAGCTGTGGGCACTTGTGTGGCTCACGCAGAGCCAGAGGAGGATGGAGTTGGGGGCCAGGCAGGGGGCAGCCTCCCCAGGCTGCACTGCAATGGGGAGGGCAAGTGGATGGTAGCTGTTGGGGGCTGCCACTGCCAGCCTGGACACCAGCCTGCTCATGGAGACAAGGCCTGCCAAGGTGAGAGTCCAGTCCCCCGCACTTACCCAGCATCTTCCACCTGCCCCCAACCTTGGGGTCCTCCCCCGAGCACCCCAGACTTTGTTGTGTCCCCCAAAACATCAGGATCAAGCCATCTTAGGACAGGACCCATTTCCCCCATTTTATTTCCTGAAGCGTACAAACTTGCTCACACCCATTCATCTAAAATTTCTGGAATCTTCTGGATCTTTCCACAGCAATTGCTATGGATCTTTGGGCTGCAGACCTAAGAAGTGATACAGACCAAAAGTTGTTAAACTCCCAGATCACCTTGGGTGGGGTCGCTTGTCCCCCTCTGCTATCTGGTTGGGAGGGTTCACTGCAGCACCAGGTGGCTGGGAAGCCAGTAGAAGGAGCCGTGGATATGGCTGCGGAGAGAGGTTATGCAACCACGCCTGTGGGGCTTGCCCAGCCTGCAACCCCATCACACCTCACCTCTTCATCACTGGAGATGCAGTTCTGTCCCAGTGACTGACAGGAGTCTTTGCCCTAGGGAAGGGGGGTGGTTAGGTCTCAGGAGGACCAGCTCTGGGGAACAGAGAGCTGTGCTGAAGCCTGTGTGCAGGGGCATTGGGAGCTCAGGGTGGTGGATGGAGCAAGAGTGACGCCCCATTCTCTCTGCCTCTTCAGCCTGCCCTGGGGGGTCCTATAAGGCCTTGGCCGGGAATGCTCCCTGTTCACCATGCCCTGCCCGCAGCCACTCCCCTGACCCTGCAGCCCCCGTTTGCCCCTGCCTCCAGGGCTTCTATCGGGCCAGTTCTGATCCACCAGAGGCCCCCTGTACTGGTGAGTCTGCCTCCCAGCCCGGCATGGAAAAGAGTCTGGGAGTGGGGCTGGAGGTAGGGGAGCCTGCTGCCACGTGGGGTGCCTTTTGCATTTGGAGTGACTTTCTTTTTTTGTTCTATTTCCTTATTTTTTCCCCTCCCTGCCACACCTCCCTCTCTCCTCCCACCTGCCTCCTCTGTTTCCTGCCCCAACCCCATGCTCTCTTCCCTCCTCCTCTGGATGGTCAACCCTCCTCGCCTCCTTCCTTCCTCAATCCTCTCCACCCTCCCACCTTGCCACCCTCCCACTGCACCTGACGGCACCCAGGCCCTCCATCAGCACCCCGGGAGCTGTGGTTTGAGGTGCAGGGCTCAGTGCTCATGTTGCACTGGCGCCTGCCACAGGAGCTGGGCGGACGAGGTGACCTGCTCTTCAACGTCGTGTGCAAGGAATGTGGAGGGCATCAGGAGCCTGGCAGTGGGGGCTCCTGTCGCCGCTGCAGGGATGAGGTGCATTTTGACCCCCGCCAGAGGGGCCTGACGGAGAGTCGAGTGTTAGTCGGGGGGCTCCGAGCACATGTACCCTATATCCTGGAGGTGCAGGCTGTCAATGGGGTGTCTGAGCTCAGCCCTGACCCTCCCCACGCTGCAGCCATCAATGTCAGCACCAGTCATGAAGGTAAGCCCTTTTACCCAGCTTAGTGACATCTCCCATAACTCCTTAGAACCCCCTGCCCGCCTTTCCCAAACCTGCCCTCCAATCAGGCTGCCTTAGAATCCATAGTCTAAGCTCCATGCCCTCCACCCACCAGTGATGCTTCTGCTCTCAGAGACTCCCATCCCCCTGATAATCCCTCCTGCAATCCAGTCCCCTCGGCAGTCCCTGTGGTGCACCAAGTGAGCAGGGCCGCCAACAGCATCACTGTGTCCTGGCCCCAGCCTGACCAGACCAATGGGAACATCCTTGACTACCAGCTCCGCTACTATGACCAGGTGGGCAAGGAGCAGGGGGCACCACAGCAGGGCTGGTAGGAGCTGGAAGTCCCCACAGGAGAGCATGGGGGTCGCATGAGGCAATGGGGATGTGTTTGACAGCCACATCAGCTGAGGAAAGCTTGGGGGTAAGAGCAGGGGCAAGAGGAGCAGGCTGTGCAGGCAGTGAGTGGCTGTTGCCCCCAGGCAGAAGACGAATCCCACTCCTTCACTCTGACCAGCGAGACCAACACTGCCACCGTGACACGGCTGAGTCCTGGCCACATCTATGGCTTCCAGGTGCGGGCGCGGACTGCTGCTGGCCACGGCCCCTATGGGGGCAAGGTCTATTTCCAGACACTGCCTCAAGGTGAGGGGGTGCCTGGATGGGAACTGGGTGTCTAAGGGGACACTGAGGAGAGGTCAAGACCATCCAGGCTTTGAACCCTGACCCGGCATCTCCGGGACCAGAGACTCCGGGAAAGGAGGATGTGAGGATGCTACCGTGGCTGACCCTTGACCTCAGGGGCTGCTGGGGAGGGTGTGCAGGGGTGAATGTGTGGGTCATGTGGATATGCAAGTTGTGTGTGTAGGGCTGTAGGGGTCGTGGGTGCGTGTACAGGACTAAGTGTATATATGTGCATACGCATGCGTATGTGTGGATTTGTAGTCAGGTGTGCACATGCCTGTTGTGTGTTTATGTGTGTGGGTGGGTCTGTGAGGTGGGGTGTGTGTGTGTGTGTGTGTGGTGTGGGGGTGCCTAAGGTAGTGAGATGCTTTCACACACTCATGTGTGAGGCCTGGTCCCCCAGGTGAACTGTCCTCTCAGCTTCCAGAGAAGCTGTCCTTGGTGATTGGCTCCATCCTGGGAGCCTTGGCCTTCCTCCTGCTGGCGGCCATCACAGTCCTGGCTGTCATCTTCCAGCGGTGAGGCCCCTGTGCCCCAACCTCCCCAACCTGCCCAGCACCATTCATGTCCTGGATACCCCTGTGGACCCCCCCTATAGACAGCCTTTTCCCACTACTCCAGCCCCACCCCGAACCCCGTGCAACAGTGGGACGTGGGGGGACAGCACAGGGGTGGAGATGGGGCCACTGTTCCAGGTCACCCGTTTGTCCCGCAGGAAGCGGCGAGGCACAGGCTACACAGAGCAGCTGCAGCAGTACAGCAGCCCAGGTGGGCAGGAGGAGGGACCAGGACTGGGCCTGGGGGTCTGGGGGCTGGGTGCGTGCCTGGCAGTGTTGAGGGGCTCCTTCACATCGGCTTCCAGAAGCAAGCGGGCACGTCTCGGGCATGTGGGCACCCAGCCTTGCACCACACCCTAAGAGCCCACTCCTCCCTACAGGACTTGGGGTAAAGTACTACACAGACCCCTCCACATACGAAGACCCCTGCCAGGCCATCCGAGAGCTTGCCAGGGAGGTTGACCCTTCGTATATCAAGATTGAAGAGGTCATTGGGGCAGGTACTGCAGGGACAAGGAGGGACTGGGGGTTCCTGGTAGCCCTCCTTAGCCAGGAATCCCTTTAAGCACACACAGTAGGACACTGTGAGCCCACGGTCCTTCCTTGACCCCCATGCCACCTGCTCCCATTCTGCAGGCTCCTTTGGAGAAGTGCGCAGGGGCCGACTGCAGCCCCGGGGACGGCGGGAGCAGGCCGTGGCCATCCAGGCCCTGTGGGCCAGGGGTGCCGAGGGCCTGCAGATGACCTTCCTGGGCCGTGCCGCACTCCTGGGCCAGTTCCAGCACCCCAACATCCTGCGGCTGGAGGGTGTGGTCACCAAGAGCCGTCCCCTCATGGTGCTGACAGAGCTCATGGACCTCGGACCCCTGGACAGCTTCCTCAGGGTCAGTCCAGCTGGGGTGGAGGAGGAGGGTGTGGTGCGTGGGTCCAGGAAAGCTTGGGGGCCTCCCCTCTTTCAGGAGACAGCCGATACCTTTGCTCCCTCCCCCTGCCTCCCACGGTGGTCCTCATCCTTCTTTCCCAGGCCTGTGTGATCCCAAATTCTGCCCCCAACAGCCCTCTCATGCTAGTGTCTGCTGCTCAGCGTGCCCAGGTTCCACTGTGTTGCTGACCTCTGTCCTCTGCCCCTCAGCAACGGGAGGGCCAGTTCAGCAGCCTGCAGCTGGTGGCCATGCAGCGGGGCGTGGCCGCCGCCATGCAGTACCTGTCTAGCTTTGCCTTTGTGCACCGAGCGCTCTCTGCCGGGAGCGTGCTGGTGAACAGCCACCTGGTGTGCAAGGTGGCCCGCCTTGGCCACAGTCCTCAGGTGAGTGCAGAGCCTGAGGCTTAGCATCCCTCAGCAGGGGCTCTGGGGTGAGCTGGAATCTGGGGTGGGCGCCAGGTAGGATAGCCCGGTATCTGGGGGTTGGAGGCTCACCCGTGTGCTGGGGAGAGAGGAGCCTGAACAAGGGGCAGTTGAAGGATCTCAGGGACTAAGGCAAAGAAAGGGGGCTTGGGAGGGCAGGAGTGTCAAACTGGCACCCACTCCTGCCCTCCCCCTCATGTGGAGGATTCACAGGCTCCAGAATCAGTACAGCTGGGGACAAATCCAGAAGGCCCCAGCACATCTCCAGCACTGTGACCTTGGACAAGTTCATATTGTTTATGCCTCACTTCTGCATCCTAATGTCCACCCTACACGGGTGTTCAGGGGATTAAATGAGATGTTCAGTGTGAAACCCTTAATATACGTCTGAGTCCAGAGTAGTTGTTCAGTAAATGTGACTCTCGCTAGGATTATTGTTATTGCTGCATTTGACTTCACTCCTCAGGGCTCAAGTTGCTTGCTTCGCTGGGCAGCCCCAGAGGTCATTGCACACGGAAAGCATACGACATCCAGCGACGTCTGGAGCTTTGGGATACTTATGTGGGAAGTGATGAGCTATGGAGAACGGCCCTACTGGGACATGAGTGAGCAAGAGGTGAGCTTACCATGATCCCTCCCAGGCCCACATCTTCCAAGAGCTTCCTTCCATTCACATTCTCAGATATCTTCCAAGCTTTAGAGTTCCCTCTCCACTCCAGACTCACGTGGCACCAGATTACAGTCCATCCCTACTTTGCTAACACCCCCCGCGACTAGCAAGAGCTTTCTGTCACCAGATGCTTCCCCTGATCCCCAGGTACTAAATGCAATAGAGCAGGAGTTCCGGCTGCCCCCGCCTCCAGGCTGTCCTCCTGGACTACATCTGCTGATGCTGGACACATGGCAGAAGGACCGTGCCCGGCGGCCTCACTTTGACCAGCTGGTGGCTGCATTTGACAAGATGATCCGCAAGCCAGACACCCTGCAAGCTGATGGGGGCGCAGGGGACAGGTCTGGAACTTGGGGCTGCAACCTGGGAAAGCCAGGGAGGGTAAATGAAAGTCAAAAAGAAAACTGAGGCGAGAGGGCTGAGATGAAGAGGAGAACTTGACCTGTTTGCCCCTCCCCCCCTCAGACCTTCCCAGGCCCTCCTGAACCCTGTGGTCCTGGACTTCCCTTGTCTGGACTCGCCCCAGGCCTGGCTTTCGGCCATCGGACTAGAGTGCTACCAGGACAACTTCTCCAAGTTCGGCCTCTGCACCTTCAGCGATGTGGCTCAGCTCAGCCTGGAGTAAGCAGGGGTGGCGGGGTGGGCAGGAGCTCCAGGCCCCAGGAGAGCGGGTGTCTGGGATCTTAGAGAAACTGGCCCAGCTCTGACCCACTCCTTCCCCGCCAGAGACCTGCCTGCCCTGGGCATCACCCTGGCTGGCCACCAGAAGAAACTGCTGCACAACATCCAGCTCCTCCGGCAGCATCTGAGGCAGCCAGGCTCAGTGGAGGTGTGAGTGAGGTCTGGGCAGGAAGCTGTGAGCCCACGATGCCGCTGACCCAGCCCAGGACACAGGTCCGAGGAGGGATGCGCGAGATGTGAGCCAGGCTCCCTCTCCGCCTCTGTGCCTGCGGCATTCTCCCAACCCTCCTCTGGACGCTGCATTTCCCCAGTCCTCCACCCTCTGCCAGCCTCCACTACATTAAAGGGAAGGGAATTTGAACGTTCAGGTGTGTCGAGACCTCAGTCTGCAAGGAGGGGCGGAGGGGAGGAGGGGGCGGGCAGACACCGGGCAGACAGGCAGAAGCCCGTGGGACAGGGAGCAGGAAATGACTTTATTGGAAGGTGGTGAGACTCAGCCCAGCTTTTTTACTCCTAGAGAGGTGCCTGTCTCCCTCTCCCAGGCACCTTTCCATAAACCCAGCGCTTCCCCCTTCAACTGTCTGGAGCACCCTGGAAAGGGCTCTCTCCCTTCCTACTTATTACACAGGGGTGGAGACAGGTGCCTGAGAAGGCAAACCTGTCCTTAAAGTGCTCTGACGTGCAGTGGGACTTCCATGAGAGAAGGAGGAAGGCCTAAGACGAGGTGAGGACCGTAGCCTCAGCTTCTCTTTGCCCAGCTCAAGGCATCCTGGAGGCCTGGAGCAGTAATTCCCAACGTGCTTAGCGTTCACGGTCTGCCCCTTTCCCCCTGGGACCTGGGAGATGAGACCCCTAGGTTCTTGTTGGTTTTGCTTTGTTTTGTTTTCATGCTCGCAGTGAGGGTGAGTGCTCAGATCTGGTATTCCCAGCCCTCCCCGTCCTCCAGGCCCTGGTTGATCATCCCCCGCAGGTCCCTCCGCAGAGTCCCTTGTCGGAGCCTTTCCCAGTTGATGCTGCTACGGGAGGTGCTTCGAGACACTGAGGGTGTAGGAAAGGACAGGTGGGGGCCCAAGGGACGGCACCCCTCTGGTTTTCCCCCTGAGTCTTTGTCCAAGCCCTCAGAACAGAGGACTTCCTGCGGCTGGAAGGCCTGTGCGTAGCGACGGATTCGCTGCCGGTTGAGATCCTGCCTGTCTTCCACTCTGCAGAGTGCAGGAGGAGGACGTGAGGGGTAGCAGGGGCCGAAGAAGAGAGGCAAGACCAATGCCTCTCTCCTATCCACCTGCTTCCCAGCCCCACCACTATTGGCCTTTCCCCTCTGCAAACTGTCATGGGCATGGGACACCTGGCCCTCAGCAGCCAGGGCCCAGGAAATAGCAGACTCTGGTCCACCAGCTCTTAGGATGCTCCTGATGGGGCCACTTTCTCAGTAGTCATGGTCCAGTCAGTGGATATGGGGCCTAGGGGACACCCAGGCATCCATGGGGCCCTGGGGAGCCGGAGGTTATCTGAGCAAAGGGGTCCCCTGCAAAAGTGGTTGCTCAGGGGACTCCTACCCAACACCATGACTTACCGCAGGAACCAGCGGTCCCCCAGCCCGTACTCGCTCCCGCAGATCCCGGAGCGAGGCCACAGGCAGCGAGGCAATTTCCGCTCCAGCATCACCGTGGTGGCTACCACCTGCATGTGAGGACAAAGGGGAGAGTCAGAAAGGAGCCCAGGTACAGACCAGGCAATGTAGATTGAGAAGAATGGGGGAGGAAGGGCAGGCCCAGCAGAGACGAGTTTTACAACAGCCAGGAAACTCGGCAGCTCATGGCTTCCCAGAAGGGTGAGCCACATCCCTGATCTGGAATGGTGGTTTGAACTCTGTTGAGCCTCTTCTCAGGAAGAGTTTGATGGGACTTGAGCCCCACACGTTTTCACCCAACAACATGACATTCATGGCAAAGCCAGGCAGAGTGAAGCTGGGATGTGGAGATTCTCCTTAGAAGGAGAGATCTTTTCCAAGGAGGATGGGGAGACGAGGGAAGCAAACAGAAAGGAGTCTTCAGGGCCTCAGAATAACCTGACCCCACATAATGGCCATTTATAGACGTAAACACCTACTTACAAATCTAGTATCAGTACATTTTCAAGGAGAAAATATTTCCCAGAGCAAATCTCATTTAGTCAGCTTAGGTTTCACTGTTTTCATAGTTAAATGCCTTCTAGTGTTTGGAATTTCCGTTTTTATTTTGCTGAAATTATCTTTGTTGATCTCAATTCTTTTCTAAGTATATTTTTAAATGGGGATTTTATTCATCTAATTGTCTTATGCCCATCTTCATCATATGGCTGAAGATAGGTTCTGCTAGGATAGGAATTTTTTATGGCATTATTTTTAACACTTCCATTTTTTCTGGGTCAGATTTTGCAGACTTAAATATTGTCAAGAAAACTTAAAACTTCCATTCTCACTTAGAAGCAAAATTGACTGAATGTGGTTTTGGCCACTGTCAGCTTTGATTCCTGTTGAGTATTCTAGAAGAGATTTAAGGTTTTCAGTGTTGGGAAAACAATGAGGAATTCTTTCCGGAGAGTCCACTATTTCTCTATTGTATTGCTAATCCAATTCTTCTGCACACTTGGCATTGTTTTCCTTACTGTGCAATAATTATCCAACACACGTAGGGCCAGAATACCTGCTTCTACCTGAGCATAGGCATTTCTTGGGCAGGAAGAGGATGACTTACAAGAACCTACCCAGCCACTGGGAGCTCACCTGAGCCCTCCAGAGCTCATCCCTCTCGTGAGCCACTCGCCAGTGAGTGTCGCCCATCATGGCAATGAGGAGGTTGAGCATGAGCAGTGTGGCGATGATGGCAAAGGCAGCGTAGGTGATGCTGTACATGAAGGGCAGATCCACGTCATAGTTGGCAGGACCATCAATGATGGTGAGAAACAGCTCGAAGGTGCTGAACAGTGCCATGGGGTAATCATAGAAATGGCCCAGCTCGTCGGGATCCTCTGTCTGGAAGATGATATAGAAGGCTGCTCCACCCAAGGGGGTGAGAGTTACCATGGCAACTGTATCATGACCAGCCCACGGCCAGCTCATTGCTGCACATTGCCTTCCTATTGCCTTCCTCATCTCCAGGATCACCATCTCAGCCCACAACTCTCCTTTTTTCCAGGTTCTTTTGTTCCACATTTTCTACAAGATTCAGCCTCCTGATCCCAAGAGCCATTCTCCCGAGCACTCCCAATTTTCCCTTACCTCTGAGGGATATCGCATCCTCAGACATTGCACGGCCTCCTTTGACTTTTGCCTTCTCCCCCTCCTTCCTTCCCTCCCTCAAGTTTAGCCAGAGGCATTCTGTACCCTGTAGGTCCCCCCAACCCCTTCCTCCATGGCCCCCATTTTGGATAGGCAATTTACCTGAAGCAAAGCCCAGGATGACCACAGCCATCAGCCAGCAGAACCGCATGAGGTCACCAAAAATCATCTAAAAGGGGATGAGACAAAGAGAACATCACACATTCTCTCAGCAATTGCTCCATCCAGAGCTAGCAGGTCTAGCACCAGTTATTCTAACAGCTCCATGCCCCAAGATACAGGTCAGCACACCATAGCCTGCAGGTCAAATCTACCTGGCCTGTTGTGGCTTTTGAATGGTTTTAATATTGGATGGATGAATGGTTTCAACATTTTTAAAGGATTGTTTTTTAAAAGTAAAGAAGAATATGCAACAAATACCATACATAGTTTACAAAACCTGAAATATTGAGTATTTGGCCCTCTACAAAAGCTTGGTTTGGGGACCTCTCTCTAGGAAGCATGGGGGGAAAGCACTGACCTTCTGGATCATGATGGTGAAAGGGCCCAGCATCTGGAATCCTCGGGCAAAATACATGACATTGCACCAGCCCAGCACCAGGGCAAAGGACATGGGTACCACCTCCCCATCTGCATTGGTGAGCCGCATCACCATGGTCACCAACACCATGAACGCATAAGTGACGCTAGGAGGAGAGCAGTAAGGGAGGTGATGAGTAGAGGGCTGGGATTATACAAGCCACCAGGCAGCAAGGGTATAACTGGGACAGTCCCCACACATTCAGACTCAGCCTGTGCACACATAGGGACACACATCACTGGAGAAGGATCTCTGGAGTTAAGATTAGAAAGTCAGGAATCCAGGGAAGGAAACTGGAGACCTAAGAGGAAAGGGATGGGAGTGAGAGATCAGAGACTCACATGATGACATGGAATGGTCCGCCAAGGATGGTCTGTCCAAAGAAGCGAGTGACACCAAACCTGAAGATATCTGGTATCTGAAGAGAAGATGGGGAGACACAAAGGCACTTGAAGACCTGCATTAGGCTGGATCCCTGGGACAACAGCTTCACTGTGGATTCCATCCACACCTCACCTCTACCAGCAGGATGATCACAGCGCCAATGACGGTCACCAGTTCCCCCACCAACCGGAGGTCATCCTTGGGGGTCACATAGGCCTCCTGAGGGGAGAAAAAGATGCTCAGAGCATCCAGGGCTCTCATGCATCTGCTCTATCTTTCCTGGAGCCTACAGCCACAAGCCCAGACCTTTCTAACCCCTTAGGTCTGGTTAGTCTCAGGCTGCTCCAAGAGAGAGAGAGAGAGAGAGAGAGAGAGAGAGAGAGAGTGTGTGTTTCTATGTGTGTGTGTGCTTTGACTCTGAACCCATATATCAGACATGTGAGGGGAGAAATGTGGATCTGAGAACAGGGCAGTGGGACCAAACTGAGAAAGAGCAGAGAGCAGCGTCCTGCCCTGTTAGTCCTCTACTCCTGGGGGATCACCTGGAAGAGCTTCTGCTGGAGGAGGGTGTTGTCCCGGGGGTTGGTGCGGTTAGTGGTCCTGGGCTTCAGGGGGCGGTAGACACAGCACATGGTAAAGCAGATGATGTATAGTAGGTAGATGGCACCCAGCACGCAGAAGTAGGGCCGCCCATACCTCTTCCACTTGAGGCTCACCAGCTCCTTCACTGGAGTCTGGTCCAGGATATGGCGAGCCTGCAGCAGAAAGAGTAGAACAGGTGACTCTGAGACCCTGGCATATCCTGCCAGCCACCTCTGCTGGGGAGACCCCCATACCTCCCGCTTCTTGGTGGTGACAATAAGTTCTAGCAGGGATTGCTCATCCCCTGAAGAGTCGATCTCTGTGAGGTCGTAGAGGGTGGAGGTCAGGGGCCCGTATGTCCACTGGATGTGCTTCCTCTTCTGCATCAGGTGCTGGAACATCTGAGGGAAGGTGGAGAGCATCAGGAGCTGCAGGCAGAGGGGATGCCATAAAGGGTGGAGCAGAATCACATCCAGGAGGAGAGCAGCCCTGGAGAGGGC